GCTGGTGGGTTTCAACCTACAACTTTGTGGTTAGCAGCCTAATACTTAACCCACAGCACCACCTCAGTTTGGAGCTAAGGTACCTTTAATCGCTCTCTGACCCTCATTAATATCCCTTTATAACAAAGGATGGAATCCTGGTGTGGTGCTGTAGGATCAGCACTGGACTGTGAACAACAAGGTTGGCAGTTCAAGCTCACCAGCTGCTCCTTGGAAATCCTATATAGGTTCACTGTGAATTGGAACCAACTCGACCATACTTCACAACAAGTGTGGAGCTGTAGGATAAGCACTGGACTGCTAACCAAATGGACCGCTAACCATAAGGTTGGCAGTTCAAACCTATCAGCTGCTCCTCTGAAACCCTATACAAGGTCGGTGTGGGTTAGAGCCAACTTGATGGTACTTAACAACAACAAGAACAAGGCATATTTGGGGATTTTAGTGATTTTATGTTTGAAACAATTTTCTAATTGATCTTTGTAGTACTTATTTTTTATCTTTACTTATCAATTACTCCCATTTGAGGGGAAAAAAAGATCAGAAAACAAGAATAATGACATTACTTAATGTTATACCATCGTCTTTCAAGAAAAGGTATAAAAGATACTTATCTTTGTAGTCTTTTTTTCTTTTAAGATTTCATTGAATAAAGCAGATAATTCAAATTTTTGTGTTTTGCCAGTATGTTAGTAATTAAATTTTCATTAGTGGTGGTTGTGTGTTGTTGGGTCGGATCTGACTCATAGTGACCCTGTATAGGGTTTCCGAGTCTATAAACCGTCATGGGAACAGATAAGCCCATCTTTCTCCCATGTAGCAATGGGTAGATTTGAACTGCTGACTTTGCAGTTAGCAGCCCAGCTCATAATCCACTACACTACCAGGGCTTTTTAAATTTTCTAACAGTAACATTTGAAAACAACAAAGAAACAAGTGAAATGAATTAGAATAAGTTATTTTAGGTACTCTATTATATGAATCTTGGTATCGCACTGTAGGATAAGCACTGTCAGTTTGAACAGCA